ATATATATATGTATATAATATTCTCAACGACATGCTAAATGATAAAAAAGTTTTCAAAAAAACCGTCACAAATTAAATCTGTTGAAAACTTAAGTAAATTAGGTCAACGTGTTTTACCACCATTATTTAAAATTTCGCGCGAAATGTTTTTTAATAAAAAAAAAAAGTACTTATTCGTTAAAATAAACATAAATTACCTTACCTGCATTACATATATTCATTAAAATAACACAAGAAAATTATAAAGATGTTACAAGTACGATATATCTAATGTAAAGAATCGTTTACAAAGAGCTAACTTAAAAAAAAAAAAAAAAAAAGAAAAAAAAGAAAAAAAGAAAATACAAAATAAAGGAGAAAAAAAGTGTTTCATTTACCCTCATAACCCTTCACTGCCTCAACAGTTCATGCATCTTTGAAATCGTCTGGGAAATTAGTATTCCGTTTGGTATCCCTGATTGATGACATTGCGTTTATCGAACGGCGTGCAGCAATGCACACAGATTATTCATCATATTAAAAAGCGTTTTCACCCGTCGCGCATTCATTCGAGTGTTACATTCCAATAAATGGAACTTAACAATCAGCCGTAGAAATTGGTACGCGCATGCTGCATGACGTATGCACGAGGCCAGCAACCACCGTAAACAGAATTATACAATACCGAACGTGCTACCATTAATTAGAGTAACTTTGTTGGCACGTGCGCGTGTGCGAGCGTGTAACGCGGCCACGCTTTTATATTAATGGCGTGCAAAATGTTTTGACACCTCGGCTGCGGATTTTTAATTGAGAAGTATCGTGCTCGTCGCCAGACAACAGTTACAAACAATTTGGCCAACTTAATATAGTTCGATCGACGAAAGACATTCTTCTAGTTTAAAAAAAATATATATATATCGTTTCGAATGAAAATTTCGAAAATAATAATAATAATAATGATTATTAGAGTTGTTTAAAAATTTTAAATAATAAAATGATTACGGGAGTATGTGAAATAATATTATAGGGAGCGAGAAGTGGAACATTGAATTTCAATTTTTTACAAAGTCTCGAAGAATTTATGGTAATAAGTGGTGAGACACCGTCGCTATCGGACATAGATCACACGATACAGGAAGAAGGCGGCCTGGTTCTTGCGATAGAATATTAATTGAATGGTCCAATAAACGGGTCTAGCATAAAAATGAATTATCAATATTGATAGCAGAAAGGAAAATAAAATGATATTTTGGGTTATTTTAAAAAGAGATGCAATCAGATGATTAAATGGTTAGTTTAATAAATGTATTAAATAAATGTGTTCGAATTCATGAATATTTCAATAATTGACTTTATAAAATATCCTCCTTCTATTTGTTAAAATTTAGATTTAGTGAATTTAATAGTGTATTTAAAAAAAAGAAAAAATTGATCGCGTTATCGCTAGATGAAAAGTTTCTCTGTTTTATCAGGCACAATGACAACAACTGGTCGATGCAAATGTCACGAGGTGCTTATTACACAATCTCAAAATAAGCATTTTTAATAGGTCATCTAAGGTCTCAGATTAATCGCCATTTCTCATTTTTGTACACGTAGCCGTAAAATGATTGTGTCTACTGTATTTGAAAGTTGTTTATTTGATTTTCGAAAACAAAAAAAAAAAAAAAAAGACGTACACGTGTAGGCAGATACGTGAACAGATACCTGTTTTAATGAGTAACAGAAATAGGCGTGTACATTTTGACCCAAGGATGCTTTCATGAGATTACAATTAACGCTTTACTTGTTTCTGCACTATTTCACAACGCCAAGCTCTAACGATCAGGTAGTGTTGAGATTTCATTAATCAAAATTTCACAAAATTTCATCGACATTTGCAATTCTATACTTCTTTTAAATATTATATCGTGAATGATGCTGGCGAAATATACGTTGCCACGTATCAATATAAATATACAGAGAATAATACTTTATCGACATGATACGAGTAAAGCATTACTTAAAAATACTGTAAACAGGTTATCATGTATCCTTAAAATCGGTCGATTAACAATTGTTTTGTCTTAAAATTTTCTACGCGATAAATCACGTGGGTAAAAAAGCGATAAATTTTGAGATAAAAAAATTTTAATTAAAAAAAGTATTTATTAAATTTTAAAGCATTTATGTTCTAAGAATAAAATAGGCCTCGAAAATATATAAAATCGTGAAATTGCCCTAACACCTAAATATTAAATTTTCCACTTACGATATACCGTATCAAAACGTTCGCAACATGATAAAAAAGAAAAAAGAAATCGAACGACAAATATCGATACAAAGACAAATTAAAGCCATCGAAATTCGCGCAGAGGTAGCGCGTTATTGGCAGGAATCCGCAAGAGAGAACTCGCCTATTTCCGGAGATGAGCGAAGCGCGCGAACATCACGGCGTGCCGTGAAAATTCAAACGGCGAAACGTCCTTCCGGGCGAGCGGAACGTTTTTCTATCGTGGGTATACAGGGGCGGCCGGGTGTTGTATCGAGAGCCCGTGTGAAAACCGTGTTTTGTGCAGCCTCGCCGCTGCTAGTAGCAGCGCGGACAATGAAACGTACTGTAGGCGGCAGGCAGGCGTTACGACGGCAAATCCAATTCACGCACTATCGACGCGTTACCTAATAGCGTACTACGTGGATGCAGATACACAAGAGCGACGTCACGTGCTCGACGAGGCACCTGCGCTCACGCAAAGCAAAAATAAAGGTGCGCGAGACGAAGTGTAGCAATTGCCACGGGTTGGCACACGGCGAGGCGGCTTGTGTGACTATGCAGCCACACAGACACGACGAACAGTTCCGTTCACGCAACGGGCAATGCGTTACCTAAGAACGCGTAGACGCGCAATTTCAACCAACCATCTCGCCCCTCCTCTGCCACCGTTGCCCTCTGATGCGGACGATCTATGAAAAACAACGTGCACGTGGACGCGCATGTAACACCGGATCGATCTGCAAATAACGGCAGACAATAATCGCGTTTATCCGCGGGAAAATACCCGGTGAGCACCGTGTGACGAGGGTCACCATAAAAACCAGGAGCCATAATGAAGTATCAAGGCAGCTGGTTGGACGTGCTCTCGCTCCCTTCTTTCTATCTCGCTTTCTACTTGTATCTCTCTTTTCTTTTCTCTCTTCTCTTTCTTTCTTTTTTCTTCTTTTTCTTTTTTTTTCGGTGCAATTTCTCCGAGTGCTCCACCACCGCATCGCAACACCGTCGTTTCATTCTGCTACCTACAGCCGTGCTACACGCGCGTGGCTTTCCTGGACTAACGTTGGCTACGTGGCACGATTGCGTTTTCCTCGTGACAAGGAAAAACCGCGGATAGCGAGAAATTATGGAGGTGGAGATGTTTAATGCACGATTTGATTGTAGATTTGCAAAGATCTCACGACGAGGAAACGTTAGATTGATATTTTATAGAGATTTATATAAATAATATTCGATTCTGTTGATTTTACTTAAATCGTAATTTAAAAATATAAAATTTAATTATTTTTATTTACTATATTTAAAATTATTTTGCACGAGAAAGATAAAATTTTAAATTATATTTCGTGCATCAATATTCGATATTTTGTATCTACGTTGTAGCGTCTACGCAAACGCGGAATTCTAAGTCTCGACATATAACGACGATGATCGATAAAGGAAAAACTCGCGTGATTCTACGGAAATCGCAACAAAGTAATTCCATTCACACGGATTCTCTCGCGTTGGCGTATCAAATGGACTACGCTGTAGCTGTAATTTATGTTCATGCAAATATATATATATATATATATATATATATATATATATATATATANA